GAAATGCTGCAAAATAAAAAGTGCATATAGAAAATACATTGGCAGCTTCTAGAGTTTCCAGTTTTCGGGCAACAAACCTCTTATCATTTTATCAAAATCGTTTAACTGTCTGAAAAATATGCATATGCAGATAGCGCATTATTTGAATACTTTTCAAAGCTAAGACTTAATTCCCTTCGTTTGTTAAATAAACTTAAACCAAAGCTGTGCGGAAATTGCATGTTGAATTTCTTAATTATATCGTTGTTTCAGGGATCAGAAATCATAAATTTGCCAGTTCAAAGTCAACAGTTTTTGAGCAGCCGATTAACCTGCCAACTCGCTTTAGCTTGTGCTCCTTTTGGCCGCTTTATCAGCGGCCCTTCTTATCGTCCACTCAACTGTTGAGTCATTGCCTAAGGCATAGCTTGTGATATATATATATACATATATATCTAGATGTATAGTATAGAGTAGGAGAACAATGGCATAAGGTGATGTGACAGTATTCAACTGGCGCTGTTAAGTCAATTAAGTCAAGCAGTTTCTCAGACAGCTGGAGGCCCAGTCGTATACGTAATAAAGCGGCGCCTAAAAGCAAATGAGGCGTGTGTTGAGCTAGAGGAGGGTCGGACTTGGGGACATGTGCATGAGTTTTTTTTTTTGATCTGAGCTGCGGCTAAAAAACTGGCTATACATATGCAAAGGCAAAGACTGAGGCAGAGAGAGAGAGAGAGAGAGAGACAGGGAGGGAGGCTCCAGTATTGATATTTGCCCAACATATGGCCGGTTTCTAGGCATTCAACTCGATTGGGTTTTGTGTTTGTCTGACTCTACCTACCGCTCTGCCCACCTCCCTCCCAGCCTACGATCGTCGGCGAGTCAACACTTTTTCAGCCTTGAATTTTCGCGCACTGACACTGAACTCTCTGAACGCGTTGAAATTCGAAATTCAAATTGAAATCAATTTCAAATTTTATTTGGGGAGGTTTTTTTTTGTTTTGTTTGTTTCTTAATACTCATTGGAATTGTATAAGAAAAAAAGGGTATTATCAGGTTGTTGTTCATCAGATCAAACTGACCGCACTGGAAATGAAAGATTCGAGAACTATGTTTAGGTTTAGTATCTATTTTAGTTTGCAATTTAATCTGCCAAGTTTGACCCTGCGTATTATATAACTTGCAGGGTATCACGTAGTCGAGCACTCCCCACTAGAGCACATGCTTAGCATATGCATTTGCAACAAATTTTGGAAATGTATTTGCCTTATTATATGATTATATACACCTAATGTTCAATAGATACAATAGTAAAAATCCCTCTATATACATATATATTATTCGAATAATCGAAAGATTTGAACACATTTTTACGATCTCGGTTAGCTTTACGTGAGGGGCGGGTTCAGACAACAGCTGCTGGGGAAAACTTGCTGTATTGTGCTGTTTTTTTTTTTTTTTTGTGTGCTTAAAACAGGAAACGCTTAAGTTTTGAGCTCAGTTTTATGGACTAAGCATAAACAAATGCGAGCTTGTTTATGGTTCTATGCGATCCGCTTTGCGGCAAGGTCTCGCATTACATGATTTCAATTTCAAATTTCTGCTCTGAGAGCGGAATATGAGTCTATGTGAATTCTGTACATTTTCTGGGATGAGTTGAGATTTTAATTGGTTCGGAGGCACATAAATAACTTCATTTGGACAGCTCCAAGAATTGAAAGAAAATGAAGTTGCAAGCAATTACAATATGATCTGTGTATTTGTAGAGTTTGTTGAAATATTCGGTTCGATTACCATTTTTTTTTTCGTTTCTCAAAGGGGACTACAAATTTGTTTGTCTTTTTATTTTCTTTCCAGCTATTGGTAAATCACAATACGATCTTTAGATTTATAGATTTAAAGACTTGAAAGCTTTGGCTGATTCCAATAAGAATTTCCAGTTTGTGGCTCAGTTGGAAAAGGGTCGTAAAAAATGTTAACTTTCTCTTTTGTTTTACGGCTCACATTGTGCTTGAAGTAGAATAATTAAATATAGGCTGGCTTCCCATTCGTAGCCCATAATTAATTTGTTTGGCATTTTCTTTATTAACATTTATTTCTCTTGCAGATTTGTACGCATTTAAGGCTTTTGTGGATTATTGGGTCGTCGTCTGGCATTTAAAATGAAAATTTTTATGTCCATGTGTATATATGTATGTAAATATATTTTTTTATATATTCTCCCAATGTGTACATATGTAAGCTCGCTGGAATACCAACCTTATAATTTAGCAGCGTGTGGTATTAAAATGATATACTATAGAAGTATAAACAATTCCAGTTGAGGGGACTTCGTGGTGTTGTAAATCGTCTTTAAAGCGTTCGTTTTGACTTCCGTGTCGGAGGGGTTTTTTCTTTTATATACAAAAACGGTTAAGTAATTTGCTAGAAATGTTTATACAAACATTTTTATTACTGTATATTTTCTTTCATTAATTAATTCATATGCATGGACACGCATGTGTGAGAAGCGGGCGAGAGGAGGAGCTTGCTCTTTTTATATGTAAATCGTATGCTTCATTGTTGTTGTTGTTGTTGTTGTTGAACACGCTTTTTGTCGATTGGATTTATTTATTTATTTCTTTTTTGTTTTTAAACTGGGTCACACATGTGGCGATTAAAACAGAAATAACATTTATAACACAAAAACTATGCATGCACACTTTGTATAAATTTTGATAAGTTAAATTAAAATATTATATACACTCGCGGCGAAATCTTATCAGCCTGTCGCCAGAAAGAAACATACGGTCCGAAGACTTCTTATATGTACTTAGTTTGCCGTTATATACATATATACTTGTTGTTGCTGTTGTCGTAGTACGGCTGGACGTGTGATAGTTGAAAGAGTAAAGCTGTTGTTGCTTTATTTTCAACTGCTCAACACTGACACTGACACTTGATGGCACACGTTAGGTTCGAGCATATAACGTATATTTGCTTTATAATTATGGCAAAAATTTACAACAACTTTAAGCTTTTGTGGACGCTTTTGTAACCGTTTTGTATTTGTTGCTGTCAATTTTGCGGTGATTTCGACCGAGCAGCTGAGCGCGTTGCGAACAACTGATCAAAGCACGCGCTGAGAACTCGAGTAAAAACCAAAGCTCGCTCTGCACGCGCGCGCGCGCTCTCCTCTTTGTGTGCGTGCAGATGTGTGGATGTGTGTGTGCGATAAAGCGTGTGTGTGAGTGGATAGGCAGACGTCGACGCCAACGTAAGAATTTTTGTAGTCAAATTCCAGCACTCTTTAAATTTGGCAGCGTTGCTGTTGTTTTTTTTTTTTTTAATATTATTTTTATTTAATGTTTGTTGCTTTATTTATTTATGCAAATGTGCTTAGATGTTTTTTTTTTGCTTTGCGCGTTTTTATGTGATTGAATATTGAAACTAGTTCGGATTGTCTGAGCGAGTGTGTTTAAATAAACGCCTCGCACCTGAGTTGATTAACTTAAACTCGTATGATCAGAGCGCTTTTTGTAGCCGTTTTTCTGACTTGTTTTAATCGTACACTAATTGAATTATGAGCACAACAACTACTACTTTTTAATTGAATTTATAATTTGTTTATTATACATATATTTTTCTGTATTTACTTTGATTTGCACGCTTTGCATTGACGCTCGTTCTTCATTCTATCAGCGTTTCTGGCATGTACAAAACGACAATAAAAATAATTTTTGTGTTTTATTTTGATTATCACACTCTGTAGTATGTGAGTGTGTGTGTTGAGTGCTGTTACACACACAAATGCACCCATGAATTGTGTTTTGTTGCGTTCCGTGTCCGCGCTTGTCAAACGTTCTTGACCGATTGATAAAGTTTTGAAAGCTCGGCGACAGAAACACGCCAAGTACAGCAAGCGAAAGCTCACGCGCTCGATGATTTGTTTTGATTGTTCAGCTGTTTGGTCGCAGCAGTCAGAGAGAGAGAGAGAGAGAGAGAGAGAGAGAGAGAGAGAGAGAGCGAGAGAGAGAAGGAGAGAGGGCAGTCGTGTGTGCGCATGTCGCTCACCCACACATTCACAGTCAGTAGCGGCAGTAGACCGACGTTTTTGTCTCTTCGTCTGTTGCTTCTTTCACTTCCACTTTTCCATTTGGGTTCTCGAATGCCTGCGCTGGGGGCATGCGGCAGTGGAGAGCAGCAGCAAAGTAGCGACCGCGCAGCTGCTCGGGTACAGTCTGTTGCGTTTGTTGTTGTTTTGGTTTTTTATTTTTGTGCGCCTTTTTCATCTGTTTTTGTTCGCATTGCTTGGCAGTTTGTTTTTCCCCATTTGATTAATAAATAAAATTATTTACAAAGCTTCCGCTCGCGCTTTTACTCACTCTTTCTCTCTCACAGCCCATTCGTGTTTTTTTTTCTGCTTTTGTTTTTTGACGTCACTTATGTTGTTTACTTCGGGCAGGCGGCTTGTTTTCATTTTCTTGCGAATTCGCATTGTTATTTCTGTTGTTCTTGCTTTTTTTTTTTTGAGTAATGCAAATTTCTGTTATGAAATTGTCTGGCGCTTTGATTTGTATTTTGAATTTCGCAAAATGAAACTAGTTGAGCACTTAAATAAGATTATAATATTAGAACGCATGATGCAAGCGAAAAGTCTGCGCACTTTAAAAACCGTTGCATACGCCAGCGCTTCGATGCTGACGCTGCTTTTTTTTCAAGTCTATTGGTTTGTTTATAGCACCCCAGTAATGACATAAAATATAATAATAATAATGAGTGGAATTCGCACAACTACACATACATATATCGTTCTTTCCTTGCTATATACATATGCACGTATGTGTGTATGTGTGCATGAGAATCGAATATCAGCTCAGCTTAAGTTTGCTTTGGCTTACTTTTTTCATGCTGCCTTTTTACACAATTCGTTCCGATTGGAGGTTCTAAGCATAAGGCTGATGCAATGTGTCATAAACAAAGTGTAATCAAAATTTCGAAATGAGAAGCCTGCACAATAATATTTTTGAGCTTTTATGCATAAGTAGAATGAATATGCTCAAAGGGTAAACGGTGTGGCAACTCTGTACGGCAATTCATAGGGGTAACTCTTGAATTATTTGGTATGCTTTAATGACAGTGTTGGAAAGCGTTTGTTTGCTATATGTGAAGCTAAAATTCAAAATAATTAAAAGTCATGTTATTGAAAGTGCTGCCTGAGGAAAAGAAGCAAATGCAAATGTGTGACATTAATTTATAAACTGCACTTCAATTCAAACCTACAATTTTAGATATCTATCTCTTTTAAGGAATTGATAATGGATACAAGTGTATTTACATTAAAAATCAGACAACAAAAAAGAGATTCGGTTCTGGAAAACATAAATCCAATAAGCAATTGAAATCATCTTGTATGCCTGCTGTACGAGCCAACTTCAAAGCGGAAAATTAAGTCGCATTGGTAATTCAATGACAATCGAACTGACGCACGGAAAATTTTGCCGAAGGGGAGCTGCTGCTGCTGCTGCTGCTGTTGCAGACAAATCACAGCCATGTCCTTGAATGGCAAATTGCGACACAGCAAAATAATAACAGCTCGTGAAGGTAAACATGTTCGGGAACCGACGCGACGCGCAAGGATGGCACCAACACAACAATCAGTAAAGCGCTCTTCAGGAACAGTCTTTCCAGGACATATACATATGTACATACATGCCAAGGATGCCAGACTGCACACACGCACACGCACACGCACGCCGACTTCAAGGATTCACGCGGTAAACGATTGTCAAGGACGTGGGCGCCGGCGTCTATAGAGTATTTACTAAACAGCACCTAAAGCAGACGCCTACGCAGCGACTTTCGAGGCGTGGGCGTAACGGCTGACAAGCGCCGGTTTATTTATTTTTCTTCCTTTTCTTATATTATTTGTTTTTTTTTTTTATTTTTGCAGCCCTCTCACCCAGCCACTCGGCACTTTCACTTTTCTCCTTCGTGAAGCATGGACGACGACCAGGTCGGGTTCATGGCAGTCCGAAACATCGGGACCTTGAACACTTGTGGGCGTCGCCAGTGTTGCCACTCCGTCACCCATAAACTGTGGGCGCTCGCTTCTCGCAAGCCACTTGTGTATTCCTTATGCTGCCGCGCGCGTTCATTTTAATTAAATGCAAAGCATTTGACAAACCACAGCATAAATATGTTTTAATTAACAAAAAGCCATCACGTTTCAAGGGTCTGGCAACGCCATTCGCAGAGCAGTGACAGCCCAGGAGTGTACGTTTGTTGTTAATTGATTTGAAAAAATTATTATTAAGCAATTTTCTAGGAGTTCAGTCAGGATATTACAACTGTCGGCACCCAGTGTACTAGTTTGGCAAACTTGTTTTTGTTATGAATGTGAAGAAGCACAACAAAAATGCGACAGCAGACTGGCAAAGACGTCAAGGACATGGGGTGGAGCAGTGAAGGTTGCGTTTGCCACCGGGGTTTGTGTGCAGAGCGTGGGCGTGCGAGCGCATGCCAGAGAGAGAGAGAGCGAAGGCGGGAGAGAGCAAGAGAGTGTGGCTGTCCAGCGTTTGCCTAAGGATTTCAAGCGAAATTCTGCGTCGTAATTTTTCAATATGGCAGCTAAAAATCTCCACAATAACCCCCACGCACGCAAGCCCCATTCCAAGAGAGGGGCGGTGGTGGCAACCGGCAAATGCGTACAACGAAAATATGGTATATACATAAGTACAAATATAATATTCTATACATACATATATTATGTAGCCTGGATGGACGTACGCAGACATTGTTGGCGTTGTTGTGACGCGTATCGATTTGTTTATGTTTATTAAATGAAAATTCATAAGGGATCAGTTGGAGCTCAGGGATGGGGCTGCTAATTGGTAGCGGTAAGATGATGGGAAATTTTTCGCACTCTACTCGCAGGGCTAGGCCATAAAAAGAGAGAGAAAGAGAGATAAGCCTCTTATAACAAGTCCTTATGCTCGCTTTGAAAGTTTGAGAAGCGCAAAGAAAGGACTCTTGGGTTGAGAAGTTGCAAATACCAAGAATATTAACAACTCATTAGTTAAAAATATATAAGATTATGTCAAATTAAAGGATTAGATATATGACAACATCTCTTAATTAATTGCTTAGTTATATTTGATTTCCAGAGAGATGATAAGTATGATAAGACATGATTGTTAAATCTATCAAAGGATATTAAGGATTGATAAGACATAATTAATGAAACTAAATCATATTCTGATTCTTATCAATATAACTTGTTTAAGCCACACATTAGACTGCTTTATTAAATCAGTTTTATTAAACTTTTAAAAAACTATCAATCAGTTAAATTTTCGAACTTACATGCACTTTGCATGTGATTATAGCCATTCAGCAATTTACTCAAATAAATAATATTATGATAATTTTTTTTTGTATTTTTCCTATTTTGTTTTTTGTGCTGATTCGTGCGCTTAGCGTTCATTGGCCCCTTTTAGCAGCGCACAAATTATATATCTCCGATAAAAAAAAACCCCAACACAATAACATTTTCAGCAACTAAGCGTTTTTCTATATATTATAGACGTATAGGCCAAAACGTAGACGTAGTGTAAAGCCATTGACTTTTCCACAATGCTTAAGTCAAGTTCAGGGCCAGTTGGAGCTGCGCTATTTGGTCATTTTTTTCTTATTTTTTTAAGCAGTTGCCTTATCGAGTTGCCAAACACATGACAACCAGATATATGACCATTATCTGAGCCAGTTATGTGTGTAGCAGATATAGCATATTGTCGCTGCAGTCTGGCACGTCATAGCGACAACGACAACAAATAATTTTGGCTGCTTCATAAAGTCCAATTTGAATCATCCAAGGAAATTAAATTATATTATGCAAATACGCGTGACAATGTCAAGCAAAATGTGGGCGTCTTCAGTGATTATTTGGCAGCAGATTTTAACATAGCTGCCGCATTGCTATAATTATAGACAACAGCTAATATTGTACTTCATGTGGAAATTTACATTAGTAACATGTTGTTGAGAAGCGCAGAGAGAGCCCCATTTGAGCATGGCACTGCTATAAAGCTTAAATGATAATCTAATATAAATAATTACACCTATCTAGCGTTATTTTGATTCTTTTATAGAATTCGTATATTTACTTTTTTATACTATCTAGTTTCCTTTCTCTACAATGATATTTCAAAATTCTGTTGTTCTATTCTGATTGTATTCAAGATAAGTATGCGTATAGATAAGAATGAAGCAACTCGGCAACGAAAGGCAGAAATACGTGTACTCATAGAAACCATTCAAGTGGTTTATAGTCTCACAAATTTCACAAAAAAAAAGTCAAATTAATATACTATTTTAATCTGAATAAAGCCTTATATGGCAAACACTCACCTTTTCAGTAACAGCTACTATAAAAACCATTTTTAGGTAGCTTCTTAGTAGGAACAGGCAACTGTCTATAAGAAAATATAAAACAGAGAGATATAAAACGTGGAAGTGAATTGTGTAAAATATTTAATATGTATTAGAGATTCTGGAAACTACAAATAGCAACAAAATACATTTTTATACCCGCGCCAAAATCGCCAGAAATGGGTATATTATGCTTAATGCAAATTCAGAGAAAAATGCTGTAACAAATGTAATTTTTTTTTTAAAAGTAATTTTAAATTTAGTAAGAAACATCCTTACTTTGAAAATGTACAAAAAATAATAGGAACTAGTCGGTATTTGGAAAAGTTTCATGAAAAGTTTCACAATAACCTTTTGCCGCCAATTTACCACTGGTCCGGGTGGAATTTCTCAAATCGCTGAAACACGTATTCATTATATTATTAAATTTCAAAAAATTCGTTAACCGTAGAAGTTTAGATTTTGCGAACAATTTTAAACACGTCCCAAATATGATATATAAATTGAAATCCATTCCACCAAGGAGGAATGGGTTTATCGAAAAGTATGAAACTGCCCTCAAATGAATTTGAACAAAGATTTTTAAAAATAATTTTGAAGAATTTCTCAAAACCCCGTCTTAAGGTGCACCTTCATCATCTCAGTTAGTCAGTCATTCAATCAATCAGTCAGTCGGTCAGGACAAACAGTTTTATATATAGAGATTAGAAATAAATCCAAACGACTTATCTTATCTTTTTTTTTCTTTGAGTGTAATTTTATTCCTTGAGACTCCAGGTTTCATTTTAATTTGAATATTTTTAAATTAGGTTTTAAATAAACATTTAGCAATAAAAGTTCTTAACATTTAAATGTATATTTTATTATTAGATACGGGTATAAAGCTTTCGTATCTTTGTTTATAGCATTTTTAATAGGAATATATATGCATTTAAGTGCAAAATATATATGTGCTGAAAAACTTGTGTGTGGGTCTCAGTTCATTGATTGCAGACGACTTGGACGACTACAGCAGTCGCAGCAGCAGTCGCAGCCGCCTATATGTTTTCTATATGTTTGACAATGCGGAAGCTGTTGAAATATAACAAATCCAAGGCGAGAAACAAAGAGAAACTGCATGTGCATGAAAAAGATATAAAAATGTATCTCACGCCGTGTGTCTGCAGTTGCAACAAAGCGCAGCCAGGCGGTCTATGTCTGTATATGTGGCAGATATATGCAAGTTCACGATCTGGCAAGTAATTAATGGATAGCACTAAGAGTGTTAATGTCAACGTAGGTCCCAAAAGCCACACATCAAGGAAACTTACCCGAAAAGCCAACAGAAGATAAAACGCCGACAAGCGAAATGCGATTAAGGAAAACAAACGAAGCGAAAGATAGACACAAAGATAAATCGCGCGGGGGAGTTACAAAAAGTCAATGCGAACAGATTACTAAGATGCCCGAACAACTATCTAAGAATTTAACAACAACAAATATTGAAAACAAAGGATTTAAGAGCGAAACTCGAAACCGGAACACGAATTATACGCGACGCGAACGGTCCGCTGCCAGGAATAGACACAACCGACCTGTCCGAATTGCACTCGATAACTGTGTCAGTGTGTAGCGATGGAATGCCCGTAAACTGAGTTATAAAGAGAGAGAATTCAATAGCGAGAGAGAGAGAGAGAGAGTACGAATCCCAGAAGCACACTGGATGCTAGACTCTCCTGTTGGATTTGTTGGCGGCGGCGGGGCAGATTGGAACACAGCCACCACCAGCAGCAGCAACACCATCAAGAGCACCACCACCACCACCACCAGCTAGAGAGCAAGAGAAATTGTATGTTTGTGCATCCTGGCATATCCTGGCATATCCTGGCCAGAGACGCGGAGATAATAAAAGAAAACTATAAAGGAGTTGTTCAAGGCACCACGAAGTTTGGATACCCTCGCCAACCTGTGTTGGTTGGTGTTATATGGCAATCTGACGATGCAGTTATCTAGGTACTGGAAGAAATTACCCTGCATTGCCCGGCTCAAATTAATAATGTTGACAATTCAATTGTACCGTAATTGTTTGTAGAATTCGCAAAGATCAAATCGCTTTCCCTAAGCCCTGCCAAGATTCGCAGAATTAATCCATTAAAATCAAGACCACATATTTTATAATTTAAATTACAACTACAAAATTATGTCTGACGTGTTTTTGAGGGTTCGAACCCCTAACACCATGCTCAGAGTGCGCTGTTATCCAACTTCTCGATTAACTTTTTGGGGTCTGCCAAAGGAAGCTTCTATACAGATTCGCAGCTCTTAAGATTTAGGCTTTACATCGGTCACAAGTCAGTCAGTCGAGACAAACTCGTTTATATATTTGTATATATACTTCTTCCATCTACTAAAGGTTTCTTCACATTTTTAGAACGCCTTTTGCAAGGGTATTTGAAAAAAAGGGAAACCCTAAATAGACAAAAACTAACCCCAAAAAGGCAAAGGCTGTTGAATACTTTCCGAGTATTCTTAAGTAGCATAGCGAAATCTTTAGGTCTTTTCCTTCTGTTTTGAGTCGATTTACTAACGTGTTTGGCCAGCAAACGTCGCGGGGTGGAAAGCGCCGCCGGCCCAAGTGTGTGTGTGTGTGTGTGTGTGCGTGTGTGTGCGAGTGAGTAATCGCCTGCGCCTGGCAACAGGACTCCTTTTTTTATAACTTCAACATTTATTACTCATTTTTACTTGAGTAATACAAGCAACATATAGGCCACAGCAAAGTACAGTAAAACTTGCCATTCAGTCGGTGGACAAAATATGAAAACAAGCGGGGGCCAGTTTAAGAGGGGGAGTAACAGGGTATTAGAGTGATAAACTCTTAGTTCCTGATACTTTAACTGAATCTTTAGCTAGCTATACATGATTTGCTATTAGCCTCACACATTCCCTTGATCCCAGACTTGTGTCTTGAATAATGGGTAATATTTATATCGAAACTCTTATGAATTCAAGGAACTTAGAAATAATCGTATTCCAATTGAATAGATTAGATAGATACATATACATATACTTAAAGCTCTATATAGTGCGATAATAAGCGAATTGGAAAACCGAGAAAGAAAGAACGCCGAATATTAAATACCCTTGTAATTATTTGCCTTACGGTGTTGCAGTCATGTGAAAATACTGAAGATCGCAAGTGCTGAATTTTATGAAAATAAATTGGAAAACAGAATATTTTGACATAAAAAACTAGTTGTTCGATGGATACTTCCTATAGTGCTATATAATAAAGAAGAAGCATAGTATTGTAGTATATATGGGCGATATTGATAGGCTTTGGTTTATTGGTTAACTTATAAATGACGAGTTGCGTCAAGATAACTTCAAAAACAGAAAAATATTACATAAAAGAACCAACCTTTCTACTGATCGTTCCTATAGCAGCTATTATTATTATTATTATTATTATTAGTTGATAAGATTCTGCAAATGTAACTTATGGATGTCAAATTAGTTAGAGAACCCACTTTTCGACCGATCGTTTCTGTGACAGCTATATAATATAGTTATCCGATTGAGAATTGAGAGGCTACTTCAACTCCGCTGTTCATGCTGATCTAGAATTTATGGGGTCGGATCCGTTTCCTTCTATGGGTAACACATTTCATGACAGAATTATGATACCCTCGGCAAGGGTATAACAAGAGATAGACACAGATTTTGTTGAAAATCAAATAAGATTAAAAACAATTCATGGGGAAATATGAAATTTCGCAAATCGAATGTAGTCTTGTATTCAATACTTAATCATTCAAATGATATCACATGACTGGACATTAATTAAATTGAATTCCTAGTAATACAAGAATTATCTTCTTGCTTACTTCCCACCCCTCGCTAGCTATTGAGCTGTGTATGTGCATGTATGTGTGTGTGTGTGTGTGCGTGAGGACAATTGTTATCTAACGTTAAATTCTCACTGAGCAGAACTTGTGACGCATGCGAACAATGGGTAAGAAGACAACCCGCTGCCCTAAATAGAGTCTCGGGAAAGCATCTTTAGGAACTCGGATTATTGTTATGATTGTAGCTCGTACGCTTTATGCCAATTCGAAATTCCAGTTTGGCCGAATACAAAAGCGCTGCACATAAAAACATTAACTTTTGTCCCACTGCCAAGAGGGAAGCCAGGGAGGGAAGCTGAAAACCAAGCCGAACTGAGGATCTTCCAAGCAGTATGTGAGCTCCAGACAATGGCAAAAGACAATAAAAGTTGAGGCAACCCTATTTCGGCTTATTTTTATGTTACTTTTATGTTTTCCCAATTTTTCACGAACAGCGATTTACGTGAATGTGTGTAAAGTACTTAGGTGCGCTTTTCACTAACCCCCTCCACCCCATGCCGCCCCACACCACTCGGATGCCTCCCTCCGTCGCTGAGCAATTCATTTCAATAGAAATGTAAATAACAAATTTTAATAATAATTGAAATGGATTTGCCAAGTAAAACCCTAAGGGTGGATGCAGTCCATCCATCCCATTCCAGAATTGTGTGTGTGTGTGTGTGTGTGTGTGTGTGTGTGTGGCAACCCACAGTTAACTGTTTCTCGAGTCATTTTCTCCTATGCAGATTGAAAAGTTTTCAATGAAAATCTGGAAAACTGCTTGCAAATGACGCAATGATTTATAAACTGTTTTAAATCGCTTCAATTGAATTGAAAGAGGTTTTCAATCGATTTTACGCTGCATGCATAATTGAGATTCAGGGAACTAAACACACGGAATACCTAAAGATGAGATGAAACCCTCCCATTGTGAGCGTGTGCATCGGGTATGCTAAAGACTCGGACAAGATCGAACGCTTAAGAGTTTACGAAAGGGTTCACATATGACTTATAAGTTTTGTAAAGTTAAGTTGAAGGGGTTAATATAATATAATACTCAAAAAATGTGGGCCTCTTCGAAGAAAGAGCTCTTGAGTATCTACATGAATCAATTACAAATGCTCAAAATTTATATGCTAAGTAAGGATAAGTTAAAGATGTTGAAAGTTTAAAAAAAAAGAGAAAAAGTAACTATATAAATTTCTCAAGGAGTTCCGACCGAAACTATTTCTATTGAATATTTCTCCAGTAAACAAATTTTTGTAAGGAAACCAATTTAATTTAAAACCGGCTGAGGCTTATTATATTCTACAGTCATAGTCGTAGCTAGCCATAAACTAGTTAAGGCTGAACTTTAACCAATTTGAACTTTAACACGGCTTCACATTCAAAGTGCTCGCTTTTAGCCAGACACCACTTGAACTCGGATCACGTAAGATGTGCATTCTTCTAACAAGCTTCCAATTATTTGGAAGATAAATGAACTGAAAACTTCTCTTAGGGCGTCTTAATACGAGATTTTTTTTTGATGAATTGCTACCAAAAATTAACATTAATTTGCAGTGTCAGTGGCTGGCGGCGTTTTGAACCTAACACTTCCTGCCCCCAGGCAACCGGTTACAGCTGGATCCTTTTGTCCGCAGATTCTATTGTTTTCGTCCAGTTACGTAGGGTTTTGCACGTGTGCACAAATTAGCAGAACTGGTTCCAAAAATTTACAGGGATTTTGCCTTGTTGTTTTTCTTGAATTAGGAAAAGGAACCACATGCAAGTAGTTTTGCTCCAGGGGCGCTTTTACCTATTGGCATTGTTCGTAAAGGGTCGAAACAGATGGGCAGCCGAAGGAAATTATGAAAATTCCATTGTTTTCGTTTTCCTAGCGTTTGGCTGGCCTAGCAGGGACTTCAGCGCCGTGTGAAGTCGGCCTAGTAAATATAATCGAAGTTTAAGTTTTGATTTACGAGTTTTAGATGGGGAGAGCATAATTAAGATTTATAAATGAGAAACCATTGTTGCTCTGAAAAGCCAAAGCTTATTGGAAATACTGGAAGATTTTCTTGCAATTACATTTCCAATTGAATTCCCTAACGATCAGCCCCTCGAATGAATCATTCGGCGGCAAATACGTGGTGAAAGATTCAACAAAAAAAAAAAAAACGCAACGAAATTCCATTCAAAAAAGTACATGGAACAAAAGGCATTTGAATAACTCGACGTACTTGTAGGCATGTAAAGGAATTAAAAAACGCTTTAAAAAACCAGACCGTATTGAAGGAAACGCCGCACAGCATATTTTCACTCACTGCCAAAAGCAAATCAACCCCTCAAGGCTGTGGGACCCCGGGGGTGCAACCATGTAAGGGGTGCACACGTACACACGGCACAGCGTGAGATGCGTGTAAATTTCTAAGCCATTACAATGTCACTGGGTCCTTGGAAGCACCCTAAAATTGCCAAGGCAAGAAGACATTGCAGGCGAAGTTCCGAAGGACAAGGGTTGAGGGTTAGGCTAAGCTTCGGTCTGAGGGGAGGCAAAGGCGCACGAGTTACCGAAGCATAACTTGAATGAGTAAATCACAATTACACGCACACACACATACACACGCGCAATCACATACTTTAATGCTTGGGGATGTTTGGAGCTTTTTGGATTCGAGCTTCCAAGATGGCGATCATTGTTTGGGTAAAAGCTTCACTCCAGGACACAAGACATTAGGCAAACAAAAACTAGGGATGATACTTCGGTCTGAGATGAATTATTTTTTAAAAGGCGGAAAACACGCCGAAATCTCACATTTAACAAATAAGAATATTTAGATAGCCCGGCAGCTTACGTTCATGCTAAAGCTTTTACTTGTTTAACAATCCCAATCAAAAGTCAAAAGCAAAGAGCAATTAATTAACGCTTAGCAGAAGCGACGCTCAGAGAGCTAAAGCTTGTTAAGTTTCTCTCATGACTGCACGACGCGAAGATCAAGAAAATGCAAATAGGTGAAAATAGTGCAATTCACACACACACACACACACACACACACACACACACGCACACACGCACAAAGTCGTAAAGTTGTGAGGGAGGGTCCAGTGCCATGAATGAACGGTATATGCAGAAGTGTGTCATGCACTGGGAATGAGAGAGGGAGAGCGAGAGCGAAAGAGAGCGCGATAGTTGGAGGGCGCACAGATGCATAAGTGTGGCATGCAGCGTGGAAGCTGCACTCTTTGGCACACATTTTGCAGCTGGCAAAGTTTTCGCGCCAATTTGCGCTACCACAAAAATGTGTAACAAGCAACAACACAAAATGACAACAGCAGCAACAACAAATAACAGGTTTACAACGGCTGACGGACCGACTGGTTGCCATGGTGAAGGTTGCAATAGAAGCGAGCAGCAGAAGCCAACACACCAGAAACAACAACACATTGCAACCAGTGTAAAAATGCAAGAAACAACACGTTTTTCGAGCAGCCTTTTTGTGCTTCGCTTCTTTCTATATATATATATTTTTTTTTGTGTATTATGCTTTGCGTTTATGGCAAACGCTTTATGGTAATAAGCGGAGGCGGGGCACAGCCACACGCACACAATCTTGTTTTGTTACGCTTTGTTCTGTGTAACAACACAAAGCATTTGACAAATATGTATGTATGTACATATGTATATGCATGTCGAGTGAAGTATAGGCAACAATATACATACACAGTATTCATGAGCTAATTGACAGCGCACTTACCTAGCTGCAATTTATGAAACTCTTGCACATTTGCACGAAATGCACAAATTATAGTCTATATATTTATTTCTTTTCCAAGAACTTTGAGGCAATAACAGCGCAGCACGCAGGTGTAGTTGAACACTGTTTACCATTCGCTTTTGCGTTTGCTATTCTACACACAGGGTTGCATATTGGCGCGCGCACGCGTACAGCGCACAGTGTTGCAAAGCAACGAATCAATGCGCGCGTTTTCAAAATTGCCGTAATCGATTTGCGGCGACCCTTAGCTATCTTAAGCGCTGGCCGGGTATCTTGTTTAAATTACATATTGAGTCCCTGTTATGATATAAATCTGCAAGTATAGTTGATCGTTGACACGCTCGTTTTTAAACTATTCTACCGCCACACCTCACATAGTGTTGTAAAACCAAGCAAGTAGGCGCGGCGTTTAAACATAGTTAATGTTTATCGATAACAAATGTTTTTAATTAAAATATTTATTTATTAACTAAATGCAATAATTTTACATATCCTCCACGCTGTACTTGTAAGCCTCGTCCTGTGCCGCTCGCCGCTCATTCTGCTTGTCAAACCAGCGCTGCTCGTAGCCATTGGAACGATCCACTCCATCCCAGCGATAGCCGGGCCGTATGCCATACCGATTTTCCGGATAGCTGCCTTCGTAAACAGGCAGCACGGGCTTATCCGACAACTGATCCCGTTTCTTGCGCTTCTGACGCATATACTCGAGCATGGGATCATCCGCATGCTCCTGCTCACGGAGATGGCGATCCAAGTCCTCATCGTTGGCATAACGTGCCACAGGTTTGGCCGCCTCGTGCGCCATTTCCTCGTGTCGTGCCCGCTGATCCTCCAGCTGCTTGAGTCCCTTGCCCCAGCGTTCATATAGCTGCTTTTTCTGCTGCTCGTGCGCCTCCTTGCGCTGCTGCTCAGCTGGATCCTCGGCCGCAGCGTCGCGTGCTCGACGCCCACGTCTGCCCGTGCTGCGCATCTGCACCTCCGCATCTCGGCCGGACACCTCGCTGGACATTTGCTCGAACATGCGTCGCTCCTCGCGCCGTCGCTCATCTGTTTCGGTCTTCAGCGATTGCGCATCCTGCAGACCTGCCTTCTTCCCGTCCAGTGTGCGCATTTCTGCTTGCCCCTTTGGTTTGTGCGTTGGCGGCGGCGATGGCGTCCCACTGGGCTCTGCTTTGGCCCAGCGACTTTTGCGCTCTTCTTTTTTGATTTTGGTCGGCGTGGCCCGCCGTCGATCTCTGCTGCTGGATCGACCTCGCCTTGGGGGACTTTGATCAGAATCCCGTCTCATTTTGGGCGGAGATTGTCGTCGCCTGGGCGGACTTTGATCTGAGCTGCGTCTTCTTCTCGGCGGTGAATGATCCGCCTCACGGCGGCGCCTGGGTGGACTTTGATCGGCATTTTGTCGCTTTCTAGGCGGAGATTGGTCCACACCTCGACATCTTCTTGGCGGACTGTGATCAGACCCATTCACTTGAGAACGTTTACCGTCTGAACTTTGATCGGCATCCCTGCCTCTCCTGGGCGGCGATTCATCAACAACACGACCTCGCCTGGGCGGGCTCTGATCTGAATCTCTTCTTCTCCTGGTTGGAGATTGATCTTTATTAGCACGTCTCCTCGGAGGGCTTTGATCGGCGTCCCTTTTCCTTCTAGGCGGCGACTGATCCGCATCACGACCCCGCCTGGGCGGGCTTTGATCGGCATCTTTTCTTCTCCTGGGCGGCGACTGATCCGCATCTCTTCTTCTCCTGGGCGGCGACTGATCCACATCACGACCCCGCCTGGGCGGGCTTTGATCTGCCCCACGCCGTCGTCTGACTGGACTATGATCTGAGTCGCGGCGTTGTCTGTGAGGGCTTTGATTGGCATCTAGACGACGCCTTGGTGGGCTCTGGTCAGAGGTGCGTCTTTTGAGGTTGTGCGCCGGACTCTGCTCGCGACTGCTGCTACGCTTCTCCAGCTTGATTTTTATGGCGGGTGCGTCGCAATTGCTGGGCGACTGCTCCTGTTTGATTTTCATTTCTGACGCCTTGCGACCCCACAATTCTGCGTTCTCATCCGCGGGCTCCTGCTTGATGTGCACAGCGTCACCGTTTTCCTCCACTTCTGTTTTGGGTTCATCCTTAACCGCAATGTTGCGCCACTTGCTGCGTATTGCGTCCGGATTCTCCTCGATGTACTCGCCCACGATTTGCGGCGCATCCTCGCCGCCCAGCAACAGATCCTCATCCATTTCCTCGGTGTTTGCATCGTAGGCATCGTCGTCGATGATTTTTACCTTGGCTTGTATGGACTTTTTATGTTTCTTTTCCTTCTTTTTCTTCTTCTTTTCCTTGTCGCCGGACAAATATTTCTTTAAATATTCCTTTTGATTGATTAATTTAGCATTTTGCATGGACATTTCGACGTTTGCTTTTTGCTATACGATAAGTTTTACAAGCAGCTGCTTTCAATTTATCGATAGTTTTAAAAAGTTAGACGATAACAATTTCAAAATTGTTTAGTATTAATCAAAATACAGCCAAATTAGGCAACTTTGCAAGCAAATAAAAGGTTTTAATTTAATATTACCATTTAAATGTATAGTACATTTTGCAATGTGAGCAGCGCTAGCCAATTTGGATGGTATCGAAAACTGGGAACAGTATTTTTAAGTATCGCCCAGCAAATTCTCGAGTTGGCAGCGCTGCGTTCAAGCACATGAAGTTAGCTGAGTGTTGTGGTATTTCTTATCATGTGTGGTATTATTTTTGCTTATGCCAAGTTCGGTCACACTGCCACTGTAGTCAAATTACTTTTTCTTGTGTCGCAGCCAATATAACAATTTTAATTAACAATTTAATTTCATATAATAATACAAAACTAAATACGGAAATCTTGTTGCTCCTGAGTTTAATTTGGTTGTACCTATTCACGTGACCAGTCAAAGGGCATTAAGCAATTATAGTTGCATCGGCGTGAAATTTTGCACGCCGCCGCCAAGGCGGTGGCGTTGGTAACTTCGCACAATGTAAGTAAATCGTGCAGAATGAAAACAGCGCTAAAACACCGTTACACCGCGAGGCTCATAAAGACACACCCAGACACGCGCACAAATCTGTAAGCAGTCATTGTCCTTCTCGAGATTTCCGTCGCTCGTCCTTTTTCTTTTTTTTTTTTTTTTGTACCGCAAAGGCCGAGCAAAGCGCCAGACGAGAGTACCTAAGAATTTCAACAGCAAAGCAGAGGCCAACAAAAACAGAGCACTAATCAAGTGTGTTGGCAATTTAAGAGGCAAAGAAAAAAAACGCAACGGTTTGCTAAAAAATATGAAACCGCTGCAATTTGTCGCCTGAAGAGCCTGTTAAACTTGGCATGTTGCCCCTTTTTTGCGTGATTTGCAGTTATTTTGCATTGACTGCAGCTTGAAATGGAAATTTTAAGTGAAATTTATAGCACAACGTGTCGGCCACTTGCTCTCTCAATCAGCACGCGCTCTGCACGCACACATACACTATGCATGTGTAGCATGTGCATGTCGTGCTCAATCGCTCAGGAAGAGGCAGAGAGCGAGAGAGAGAGACCGCGTGAGAGCGTACGATTTTGATTTGAACGTGCAGCATTTGAGTTGGGATCTGCTTAGACTTTTCTCAGTTTGAAAGCAACACGCGCCGCGTGCAGTTCGTTCAGCCGCCTCAAATATAGGAAGCTCGCGCAATAATAAAATAAATTATTCTCGTGCGCTGCCTTAAATCAAAATCCAGTGGCCTCCTGAGTTTTTACAGTTGTGTGCGTTCATTGTTATTGTATTTTCATTTCAATTTATTAGCACGCCGCCTACATGCGTGTGTATGTCCGGTCGCCCGTTTATTTAAATTTGAATTCCCTGCTTGGAGCAAGCGTTGCCGCTAATTGTTCAAATGTAGCTGCAAGCAACCTCAAAATAATATAAAAAGTTCTGTTTACCGTTATATTTGTGCTTTTTGTGGTTGCGTTCTTGCTGCTGTTGCTTTGCTGATTGACCAATAAGAATATTTTTGGCTTTTGTGGGCGCACGCAATGCTGCCATAAAGAGCGAGAGAGTCATTCTCTATATTTAGCACGCCAGCAAGGACGTTCGTCTCTTGCACCTTGCATGCCTTAACTTTCCGGCCTGCCCTAGAAAAGAACGCTCGCTATTCTCACTTTCCAAATAAGCCAAAAAAATCACACGACCAGATCGATTCGAGGCCCAAATCTTGCGGCCGTTGGCCTACTAACCAAAACTTGTCCCAGCTCACGAAACATGCCCACCGACACAAGCGCGCGAGAATACATTTTTATTTGTGTTTTTTTTTTTTTCTTCATATATGTATATGAATGTCTGTTTATCTTTGCCCCCTCCCCGATCTGCTTTAGGTATTTTCTGCCGTGGTCAAAACGAAAGCGCGTTACGCCAGCAGAGCAGCAGCGGCCTAAAAGAAAGGCAGCGCGGCAGCAGAGATCGTGAGAGAGCTTAAACGAGAGCGCACCATTCACAGCAAATGTGAATCGTGCGTGTGAAAGAGAGTGCAAAAGAAAAAAAGTTTAAAAAAAAAAAGAGCAGCGTAGATAGCTCAAAAGTGAAAGAACCGAAAACCAAACAATAAATAAAAAAAATCAAATAAAATACAAATGAGTGCCAACAAGCGACGACGTAGCAACAGCGAGAGCAGCCGCCAAATGGCCACAGCTGACTGCATGAGTGCAGCGAAGGATGTGCGCGGCGGCAGAGGAATTCAGCATTCAACAATTGACGCCAGCGTCGGCGACGGCGTTGTCGAGTTGCTTCAAATGCCGCGCGTGTGTCGTTGTTGTTGCAAAGGCGACATGGAATTGCTCGGCCTTTTCGAGGCCAGCGTTGAGACAGCCAAACAGACAACACAAACTCAACGCCGACGCAAAACAACAACAATTGAAGAGGCAGCAACAACAACAACAACAACAACAACAGCCGCACAACAAGAACAACAACAGCGCAAAAGTGATAATCCCGTTGAATATGCGCTCAGCGGCGCGCACAGCAGTATGGACATCGTGTTAGAGGAGATGATCATTTGGATGCTCAATGTAAGTACAATAACAATAAATTGCTCTCCTCTCTCGCTCTCTCTTAATTTGCAAGTAGATAAGGCAGAGAGTTTCAAAGTGGGCAATGCTGACCAGGGGGGGCAGTGGCTAATGGTGAAATATGAAAATCAGCGAAAAATGGAAATTTTGACTATTTGTTAAACAAGTTTTCTTTTAATTTTACGAAAAATGCACACTCACTAAATTCAAGTTTGGCAATTCCGTAATTCCGGAATTTATAAAGAGTCTCTTGTCTCTTGTCCGTCTCTTATAGTTCTAAAGCAACAAGTAACAAACTCTCTCAACTTAGTTTGCGGTATAGAACTTTCAAAGCGGCGTCCAAGTCAAGCCCTGTTGCAGCAAAACAAGTTCACACTCATTTGAAAATTAATTGCTAACTGTAAATGAATGCAATTTAGAGCTTTCAAAGCTGCGCGCGAGAAGCAGTCGCAATTGCATTTGAAATAAAAGCAAAAACAAATTCTTAGTTTTCGGGCCGCTCACTTTAAGCTGTACATTGTTTTGAAAGCCGTGCTTTTAAAAACTTTCCGCCTGTCAAGTATTGTTAAACCATGTGTGTGTGTGTGTGTGTGTGTGTGTGTTTTGTGCCTGCGCTGCATTTTGATACATTGGCTAAAACTTTATGCTGCTGTTGCCGTCGCCCGCTCTTCCATCTCTCTCTCTCTCTCTCGCTCTCTGATCTGTTTAATTTTTAATGTGATTTATATGCCGCACATTGTGACTGACTTGGCACGAACCAATGAATATATGTATGCATATGTGTGTGTGTGTGTGTGTGTGTGTGTGTGTGTGTGTGTGTGTGTGTGTGTGTGCGACTGGATGAGGGATTTGACTGACTGCCTTTGACGTGCCTTTTTCATTCGTGGCATTCTGCCAGCTTGTTGTTGTTGTTTCCATTTCGTATTTGTCGTTTGTTGTTTTCTCTCTATTCTAGTTGATGTGCTAGTAACTAAATTGAATGAAAATCTTCTTGATATCATTAGTTTTCCATTCTTGTCCTTACAATAGATAATGATGTTGACTTTGTGCCCGATTGTTGAATGATGTGTGATATCTTAATTATAGCATATTTCATAATTCATAATTGCGACATGCAATGCAATTAAGGTTAAACCAACTCATAATTACCGTTAAAAATAACCACATTAACAGCTAGGCCAAGAACAACTTTATATGAATATTAAAGCTCTAATTGAACCGTTGATTCAAGATATTATTCAACAGTTTTTAGTTCTTATCTATTCAGATTATCCTTAACTTACGCTCTTAACCCTGATCATAGTGTATACGAACTTTAGCCAGAGAGTTGATCGCATTCTAATACCCATTAAAAATGCCTACAACCGGCTCAAATTGTTTTAAAGGAACATTTGCTCTCGGACACACATCTCGTATATTATTATATAGCCAATATATTTCGATCATATGGGAAAGAAAGACGAGCGTTGCCTCATGTTTGTATTTGGAATGTAGGGTATCTTATGGTCGGGCTGGCCTCGCTAGGTAGGACTTACTTAGTTTTTGTGCTTCACCTGGTCTTCACGTATTTGTTATACCTAACTTTAGGGCCTTATCGCGTGCCAAGCATTTCTCCTCGCTACCCCCTTGTGCCCTCCTCTTCCAATGTGTGCCATAAACACGCACAGCGCAACCTGAGCTTTTGTTGTGCCACTGTGCACACGTGCTCAACACCCTAAAAGAACTAGGGAGTCAAATCCACGGTATGTGGAGTCGAGTCCGCGTTAGTTTCCGGTCAATTAAAGCTACTGCGTTTGCGACTTGGCCTTAGTCCCCATTGCAGCGTAAAGTTCTTCGGCCATATAGAGGCACCCCCTCTATACAAATACAAATATATGTATGTATATGTAATATTATGGCTGAGATCGGGCTTTGGTTGTGCCAACAATTATTCATACTCATTACCAATAACGCGGGGGCTCGACGACAAGCGGCCGCAAGGCATGGCTACAACCGGTTTCCTTGGGAGGGCGGGTGAGGGAACCCCCCCCTGGCCTCGCCTTTTGAAGCCCGCATTGCTGAAATGATTTGGACCCGCGGTGTGTGTGGATTTTTGTGAAGTGTGTGCGCCCGGTGTGTGTGTGTGTGTGTGTGTATCTGGCCGCAGCCCAAGGTGTTGCATGAAAAACTGTTTGACCTTAAGTCGCGCGTTTGGTTTGTAATACAATTTGGCTTGTAATTATTTTTCATTATTTATGATTAGTCGCATAATGTGTCTATATACACACATATGTATATATATATATATATGTATATAATGTATATACATATATATTCAATTTGTGTGCGAAGAAAAACGAAATGAGTCCAACTGAGACGTGCGATTGCACGTTACAAATTCA